CTATTGTTGTTGTTGTTGTTGTTGTTGTTGTTGTTGTTGCAGTTCTAACTGGGTTGATGTGCTTCTTTTTCTTTGGTGGATTGGGGTAGGATCATGGATTGGGGTAGGGGGGGGGATTGATCTTCGAGAGGGCAGAGAAAAGGGACTGATGCTGGATAGCTTTCCCGAAGGCAACAACCACCACTGGGAACCCCTCACACCAATTGAATCACGCATGGCTTGGCTCCAGCAAAACTTGATTACTTGATCCTGGGAACAACATCCTAGCACTCCAGGCATTGCCATGTGTGCTCCGCTCCCCGCTCCAATATCCACCCCAGAGTCCATCTGCTGATGATCGTTCAGGTGTTCATTTGGTGAATAGCCCGTCTTTCCGTCCCCTGTACCAAGCTGGGTCTGCCACTTCCTCTGAAGACACCCAGTTCTTCAAGTCGTAAGATTGACGCATAGTCTCCGCAAAACGAAGACACCAAACAACCCGTGCGTGAGAAGTACCCGCATCTGTTCCCCCAGTTCGTCATGACTCCCTCCACCCAGGCAACAGCTCACGTCGTCTGCTACAAAGTCCAAACCTGGTCTTCCCCCTGCGGTCACGTGATCTCCACCCAGGCAACAGCTCACGTCGTCTGCTACAAAGTCCAAACCTGGTCTTCCCCCTGCGGTCACGTGATCTCCACCCAGGCAACGGCTCACGTCGTCTGCTACAAAGTCCAAACCTGGCTTCCCCCCTGCGGTCACGTGATCTCCACCCAGGCAGCAGCTCACGTTGTCTGCTACAAAGTCCAAACCTGGTCTTCCCCCCTGCGGTCACGTGATCTCCACCCAGGCAACAGCTCACGTCGTCTGCTACAATGTACAAACCTGGCTTCATCCAGCGGTCATGTGCAGCGGCAGGGGGTAATTCTGAGGTTGTACAGGACGTCGTGATCGCCACCTGGGCAACGGCTCCCGTCGTCTGCAACAATGTCTTAACCTGGCTCCACCCCAACCCCTCACCCCCCAGCGGTCAGATGCAGCGGGAGGGGGTAATCCTGAGGTTGTACAGTACGTCGTGATCTCCACCCAGGCACTAGCTCACGTTGTCTGCTACAGCCTGGCTTCTTGGCGGTCACGTGCAGCAGTAGAAGGTAATTCTCAGGTTGTACAATTTCCACTGTGTTGTACAGTACGTCGTGATCTCCACCCAGACAACAGCTACAATGAACAAACCTGGCTTCCCCTAGCGGTCACGTGCAGCGGCAGGAAGTAATTCTGAGGTTGTACAGTACGTCGGTTGCGAACCCGTACTCCGTGAAGCGTGTGATAGACACGCTGGACATGCGGTGGGGCGTGCACATGGAGTCCCTCACACACTCGCGCGGGAACAGGCGACAGAACTGGTTGCGCATGACCGAGTGGCCCGTCATGTAAGCGTCCAGCTTCTCCACCAGGAGCCCGCTCTTGCAGGAGCCGGAGCACAGCCCGATGTCCACAGGGCCACGGGGTCTGACCAGGCTTTGGGCGGCCAGCAGGTGAGACATATCCACGAAGTCGCTCACCCTACGGCACGGCATTTCTGAACGACGATGACGACGATGACGACGATGACGACGATGACGATGACGACCGGGACGATGATGATAACCATGGCCCTTTTGATGATGTAACTTCTGGGCTCTTTGGGGGGAATCGCGAGGCTTTCTCGCCACGGAAACCGGAGTAGTCCTATTCCCTCGATGTGTTCCTACGCCCATGAGACCCTCCGTACTACTTTCACTTTCACCAGCAGTGAATGTTCCATTCTTCTGAGACGCCATCTCCCCGTCGTTGAGTTGTTCAAGGGAAGACAGCTGGCTGTGATCGGCCTCCTCTCCAACTTCTTCACCGTACGAACCAGGGGGGTCCTCAATGTTCCTGTACCTGGCTTCGTCTACTTCCAGATGTCTCCGTCCTCGGTGACTAGAGCCGTCCACATGGCCCCAGAAGCGATCGACGACGCTGTGGTTCATGTTGCAGTACTCGAACAGCATGGCGCGCCGGATGTGCAGTGGGCAGCACGAGTTGGCGTGGATCGTGACGCTCAGGGGATCGCTTCCCTCGGCGGGCAACTCCCCGGCGTCTCTCGCTGTCAGGAGAACTGGGGTCAGGTCAAAGATGGCAGCTCGGGAGATGGGCACGGTGCCGCGGGATGTGTTCACCATGCCTGGCTCAAAGGTCAAAAGAAATAACCTCATTATCTTCTATACTATGTACCTATCTATCAT